GGAGGGAAGGAGGAAGCTAGCTACCTGGCCAGGACCCCTGGGGCTGGGCTGCCTCTGCTCCAGGGGAGGGGCCCTGGCAACCCCAGCCCCCTCGGCTTAAGAACTTCCTGGTAAATTTGGGTAAAGGACAGCTTGGGGCGAAGGGGAGGAGGGGTCTCCATTTCCCAGGTCCTGCCTGGACGGACAGATTTCGGGCTCCTCCCCCGGGGTAGGTCCCTGCACTGCAGTTGAGGCTTATGGCAGACCCTGCGGGGAGCTCGGCCCCCTCCACCTTCCAGCCCGCAGAGCAAGCGCACAGCTCTGGGGAGGCCTCCACCCACCTCCTCTTCAAATCTGCAAAGACCCTGCATGAGTCTCCTGAGGTTGCTACCACAAATCACCACAAACCTAGTGCTGAAACCACACACATTGATTCTCTGACAGTCCTGGGGGTCAGGAGTCCGACTGGGGTCTCACGGGGCTGAATCTAGGTGTGGGCAGGGCTGGTCCTTCCGGAGGCTCCAGGGGAGCATCGGTTCCCGCCTTTTCCAGCTTCCAGAGGCGCCGCATCCCTGGCTCGCGGCCCCTCCTGCATCCTCACAGCCAGCAGCGCAGCATCTCCCGTCTCTCTCTGCCTCTGACCCTCCCGCCTCCCTCTTATAAGGACCCTGGGATGACAGTGGGCTCCCCGGGGAATCCAGGGTCCTCCCCGTCTCAGGGTGAACTGTTCAGCATCCTTAATTTCATCCCCCTTTGCCACATAAAGTAACACTCGCAGGTTCCAGGGATCAGGTCGTGCACGGGCATCTTTGGATGGGGCGTTGTTCTGCCGACCACAGACCGCCACCTGCCCCGTTTTCTCTCCGTAGCCCTGTCCACACGTGGCCTCTGTTTTACTCCTCCTGTTTATCACCCGTGGATGAGTGGCAGGGATTCAGTCCATGTTGCTGTTTCCCTCAAAGAGCAGCGCCCGGCACACAGAAGGTGCCCATTCAGTGCTTGTTGAATGAATGAATAAATGAATGAACAGATGAGGTGAGGACTTGGCCGAGAGCAGAACAAGGCCTAGGACTCGGGGCGCCCGACCCCAGCCGGCACCCAGTGGAGACTTTTCTGAAGGTGCCCAGGTTATAAAGTATCTTCTCTCTGACTTCTCACCTGCCACTCCGTCAGCCCCGGGAGGCGGCTGTTAGTCACATGAGTCCCTTTTGCAGAAGAGGAAGCTGCGGCTCAGGGCCTTAAAAGTCTCTTCCAGGGCGGTTGGGGCCTTAAAAGTCTCTTCCAGGGCGGTTGGGGGCGGCCTCCGACGGGGACCCCGAAGAGCTCGTCCTGGCACGGGATTTCGCTGATTCTCTGCTTCATTCGTTGGATTTTTTTTTTTTTTTGCGGTACGTGGCCTCTCACTGTTGTGGCCTCTCCCGTTGCGGAGCACAGGCTCCGGACGCGCAGGCTCAGCGGCCATGGCTCACGGGCCCAGCCGCTCCACGGCATGTGGGATCTTCCCGGACCGGGGCACGAACCCGTGTCCCCCGCATCGGCAGGCGGACTCCCAACCACTGCGCCACCAGGGAAGCCCCTCGTTGGATATTCTTGGGCCCTCTGAGCACCCAGCTCTGTGCATGTTGGTGATGGGGGGTAGAAAGAGGACTGATGTGGTCCCCGCCCTTGGGACAGTGCTGTCCAGGCAGGAGACACAAGTTTCCAGCCTCAGATGATGTGGGGTGACAGGGCCAGAACACACACAGCCAGACACATCTTCAGACTCCAGCTCAGACACGTCCTGCTCCTGCCCCAGATCCCCCCATGACTCCCCCGCACTCTCAGAATCAAGTCCCAACACCTCGCTGTGGGTTCAGAGCCCTGCGTGGTTCCACCCTTGCCAACCCCGACCCCCCAGATCCAAACTCAGACGCACCCTGAGCCTCCAGCCGCAACCCCCCTTTCTGTCTTCCGAGCACCAGCCTATTCCCACCCCAGGGCCTTTGCCCCGGTGGATGCCTCCACCCGGAACACCATTTCCCGGCCTTCCACCTGCTCACTCCTGCCCGCCGTTCATGACTCAGCTCAGACAGGCCTTCCCGGCCATGCTGGACAAAGCATCAGACCAGATAACAGACCCCCACTTTTCCCAAACGATCTACTTCATGGATGTGTTTGCACGTCTTGCCTGTTTGCCCACCCGACACGATGCTCAGTGAGAGAAGCCAGACACAGAAGGACACACAGGGTGTGATTCCATGGATGGGAAACGTCCAGAACAGGCTGATCCACAGACACAGAGAGTAGGTTGTCAGGGGCTGGGGCAGGGGGTAGGGGGTGAGTGCTCATGGGGACGGGGCTTCTTCTGCGGGTGATGGAATGTTCTGGAATTAGAGGTGATGGCTGCACATATATGTGAAAGTACTAAAAAAACAAACACTGGCCACTTGAAATGGGAAAAAAATGCCCCGAGGAAGGCCCCGGTGCTGCTGAGCCCCCAGCACCCACGCTTGGCCCACTGGGGGTTCAGAGAGAGAGAGGGAGTCCTGGAGTGTGGCCAGGGCAGCCCTGCCCCGGTGGGATTTGCCCCTCGCTGGGGAGAAGAGATGGGAAGGTTCTCGGCCACCAGCCCCGAGGCTCTGGCTCCTCTGTGTGGAAAATGAGGGGGGGTGGCCCTGGGTGTCCAGGGGGTCTGGTCTGCAGCACGCTCTGCATGAACAGGGCTCAGTCCACGTGGCGAGGAGTTTTTCCCACATCAACAGTCACGTGGAGACTCAGCCCCAACACGGCTGCACCCGGAGCCCAGGAAGGGCCAGGCTGGCCCCCAGGGCCTCCTCCACCCTTGGCCACAAGCTGTGTGCTCGCTGACCATGGCGTGGGGGGAGGGAGCCTCGCTCTGCCAAGGGCAGCCCCGGGGCCTCACAGTTCTGCCCGGCTGGCACAGGGCAGGCTCCTGGGTCTGCAGAGCTGGCGGAAGTCAGGGTCCCACGAGGATGGGCTCCCACCGCCCCGACCCTGGGAGAACCGTGGGAAGACAGGGTGTGGAGTCCTGGATTCAAGTCTTACATCTGCTTCTCACCTGCTGTGTGGCCCTGGGCAAGTCACTTCCCCTCTCTGGGCCTCTTCTTCCCCATCTATAACACAGGCTGATAATCAGCCTGTCTCCTCCTGGGGCAGCCACTGGATGCCTGCTCTGTGCCCAGCATCCTCTACGACCGACAGCGGGTCTCACTCGGGTGATCCCGCCCCCCAGGGGACGTGGGCGATGTCTGGGAACGTCTGTGGTTGTCACGACTGGGGGGCTCCTGGCGTCGATGGGGTGGGGGTCAAGGATGCTGCTCCACACCCCCCAGTGCCCAGGATGGCCTCCCACAGAGAATGATCCAGCCCCGAAAGTCAGCAATGCTGAGGGACCTCACACAGCCCCAGTGCATTCTGAAGGTGGGGATGCTGAGTCCTGAAAAAAGCAGGGTGTCTGTTGAACGGTGGGGGGTGAGCTGGAGCCCATGCTGACAGGAAGAGGGTTTGGAGTGGGTTGGTGGTGGCCTGGCGATGGCAGAGATGCAGAGCACGGTGGATCTGGGACATATTTGGAGGTGGAGCTGACAGCACCTGGTGATGGATTGGCCGGGGGTGTGAATGAGGAGCTGCCAGGGGACGGGTGACGTCGGGACACTGCGGGGCCTCCGGGTGATGTCAGGGTTGTGGCTGGTCCCCAGGGCTGGAGCTCAGGAGAGACACAGGGTCAGGAGTCATCAGTGAACAGATGGTATTTAGTCCTGGGCGGACAGGGTGGCAGGTCCCTGGGGGTAAAAGGAGTGTCTGGAGGGCAGGTGGTGACCTTGACCGCCCTGTGGGTGTCACCTCCCCCAAGGCCCCTGCCTCAAGGAGGAGGGAAGGGGCAGAGAAGGTGTAGAATCAACATGGACCTGTCCACATGGCCTCATTTTACCACCCAGCATGGCCCCACTGAGTGGCCTTTGCCAGACCTGTCCCTCCCACCCCCCGCCTGCCCTTCCCACCACCATTCACAGCCGGCTGGCCTTCTCACCACCTTTCAGGAAATGGACCCGATGCCCTAAAAACTTAGCAGCAAAAGCAGGACTGGAATCCAGACCCCCACCCTAATCAGGACCTGGGATCCTGGCCTTCTAACCCCACCTCAAGGCCCAGGCCTCCACGCGAGGAAACAGGCCCAGAAAGGGTGACTCACTTGCTCAGGGCACCCAGCCCTCCACCGAGACCACCCTCCCGCGAGCTCTCCCGCTTCCCAGTCCAGCCAACGTCGAGGTAAGTGAATGAACAGGGTTGCTAGAGACAGAGTCAAGTCCCCGCTGCTCCCTCGCCCAGACCAGACCTTTCCACAGTGGAGGGGGAGGCATCAGAAGCTCCAGCCCAGCTGCGAGTCCACGCACCCCACACAGAGATGACAGGCCCATGCTGGGGGGAGAGGTTATAGCTCACAAACTGGGTCACAGCTGGAGCAGCCCCCGCTGGGCGCCAAGGACCAGCTATCCTCTCATCCCAGGAGCAGTTACAGCGCGAGTGCTCCGAGGGCGCCCCGGGACTTGCTCCCTTTGACAGGTGAAGTTCAGAGAGGGCGCACTTTTCATTAGAGGTCACACAGCGCGTCAGAACCGAGGTGTCTGCCGGCCTTTCTGCGACTGTGTCACAGTGGCTGTGCCCTGGCCGTGCTGGCCTCTTGTCACTTAAGTACTTCCTTCCTGATACTGTTCTGTGACAACTATTTCTTTTTAAATTCTTTCCAACTTAAAAAAAAAATTTAAGTTTGTAAAAAGTCCACCTTCCTCTCTCTGCAGCGCCTGACCCCGGACTCCGTGGCTGAATGGCCCAGTCCTGCTGCCTGCCCCCCCACCCCGCCCCGCTCGGCTCCCTTTCTCCCTCCCTAAGTCTTTGTATGAATGTCCCTTTCTTGGCAAATTAGATCATTGCAATCCCCTCAACACCCCCTTCGCCCTTTTCCTGGATTTATTTCTCTCCACTTATGGCCACCTAAGGTGGGAGAGAGTGTATTTACTTACCTCTTTTATTATCTGTGGGCTCCAAGAAAGCTGACCCCTTTGTCTCACGCACTGTGTGTCCTCAGCACGTGGAAAATGCCTGGCACAGTAGATGTTTGTTGACTGACTGATGGACGGAATCAACGAATGAGAGGAGACCAGTGTTACAGGATCTCTGCAGGTGACGATGAAAACAGGTCCAGCAAAAACAGAGCCGTATTTTGAATTCTAGCTGAATGAACTGCCAGGACCCTCTCCTGCCTCTGTTAAAAAAAAAAAAAAAAAAAGATTAGCGAGTGTTACAGGGTGTAGCACCACCCCACCTCACTCCGAGACTATCCCCTGCCACCTCTGACGTGTAGTGTGAACCTGAGCGGGTGACTTATGTTGCTTTGAGCCTCAGTGTTCCCACCTGTAAAGTGGGCGTGACCCACCCCTGTGAGGTTGTTGTGGGAATTAAATGGGCCGATCCAGGTAGAGCCTTAGCCCAGGGCTGGCCCAGAGCAGAGCCTATAGCAGAGTTTGCCTTTTTTTTTTTTTTTTTTGCGGTACGCAGGCCTCTCACTGTTGTGGCCTCTCCCATTGCGGAGCACAGGCTCCGGACGCGCAGGCCCAGCGGCCGTGGCTCACGGGCCCAGCCGCTCCGCGGCATGTGGGATCTTCCCGGACGGGGGCACGAACCCACGTCCCCTGCATCGGCAGGCGGACTCTCAACCACTGCGCCACCAGGGAAGCCCCCAGAGTTTGCCATTTTGATGAAGATGATGATAATGATGAAGATGATGTTTCCAGTCCAGGAAGAAAGACCAGCTTTGAACAGGGTTTAAGGTGCATTTCAGAGAGCCTGGGGGGAGGGGAGGGGTAGTTTAGTGCAGAGAGTCACCAGGGAAGTGACACTGGGGGCGAGACCCAAATAAAGTCAGGGAGAGAGCCATGAAGGGACAGTGGTCTGGGTCTTGCACAGCCCGTGCAAAGGCCCTGGGGCAGGACCATAGCAGGCATGTTGGAGAAACAGCGAGGAGGCCTGTGGGGCTGGAGCAGAGAGAGCAAGAGTGAGGGGGAGAGAGGGAGGAGGGGAAGGCAAGGAGGGGCTGGGCGCGTGAAATTCTCTCCTGCAGAAGGCACAATGCAGGCAGCTGTGACCCCACAAGGAGTCTGTTTGGGGGGCTGAACAATACCAACCATTTCCTTCTTGGGGCAGAGCCAGGGAGGGCCTTGCTCCTCCAAAGCAGACTGCTGATGAGCTGTGCCCCATCCCCAGCTGGGGGACAGTTATCCCTTGACCACAGGGAGCGTCCTGGGCTGGGATGGCGACCTGGGAGTGACCTCAGAGCCCCTTTAACCTAGAAAAGAGACAGCTGAACAGGGAACCATCAATTCTGACTGTCATGTCCCCTCCTGGGACACGGCCTCTCCACATGCTCTCCAGGGCAACTACACTGGAGAGAATGACCTAGAAAAAGAGCCTGGGAAAGGAGTTTGCCTCAGGGAAGGATTATGTTCCCTGCAATGCCCAGGTCGGGATTAAGGACAGTTGCAGTGGGAAGGCACAACCAGATGCCTCTCACTCCCTCCCTCTGCCTCCCTGCTAGGTTCCCCAGCCGGGGACAGGGAGCTAAGACCTGTGACCTCCTGGAGGCCAGGGGCGCCTCGGTTTCCTCATGATGTGACCACACTCTCCACTACGGCAACTCCCTTCCCGCCACTCACAGTGCTGTCCCGAACGATGCGTGAATTCCCAGGTGTTTCAGGGGCACCTGCGCCTGTGTTTATGTGCCCACCCAAATCAAGAACTGAGTTTGGTGTTTGGTTTTATTTTGCCATGATTGTGCTGTCTGTGATTGTTTGGCAACCTTGATTCCCCCTGGCCTCCTGTGGAACTACACCTCAGCCAGCTTTCCTTGTGGGTACATTTGAATCTCCCAGCGTTCCACAATAACCATAGATTTTGGCTTATTTGATCCCCTATTGATGGGTGCTAAGGTTAGTTCCATTTGTCCTCCATATAACTAGATCTCAGCTCTCTTTTTCTACTGAGTACACACAGATCTCCTTGATTCCACAGCAGGCACAGACCACAGTTTATTTAACTAATCCCGTATTGATGGACACTTAGGTTAGTTTTGGGATTTTTATTCACCCCCCCCCCCATATAACTACATCACTGTCTTTCTTCACTGGTACATACAAGTCTCCCTGTGTTCCACAGCAGGCACGGACCACAATTTATTTACCTGATCCCCTACTGATAGATATCTAGGTTAGTCCCAGTTTTTGCTGTTCCAAATGACTCTGCAGCTGCACCCTGCTCCCATGTGTGAGTTTTTCTTACGGATCCATGGATATTCCGTCAGGTCTTGTAGCTGCCACAGTGAAATACCACAAACATGGTGGCTTAAAACAACAGAAAGTTATTCTCTCTGTTCTGGACGCCAGACGTTCAAAATCAAGGTGTCAGCAGGGCTGTACTTCCTCCAGAGATTCTAGGCGTGGATCCTTCCCTGCTTTTTCCAGGTTCTGATGGTTACCGGCAATCTTTGGTGTCCCTTGGCTTATAGATGCATCACTCCAGTCTCTGCCTTTGTTATCACGTGGCCATCTTCCCTGAGTGTCTGCATCAAAATTTCCCCTTTTATAAGGACACCAGTCATTGGATCAGGGCCCACCCTGCTCCAGTATGACCTCATCTTAAATTGATGACACCTGCAAAATACAAACTCTCCCCCCCAGTGACGTATGGTTCACCTCTGGCATTAAGCTACTCGGGGCTCTGTGTGTGTTAATGCTCACCTAAAATTCCCAAAAGGGCCCAGGAAGGCCGGAGCTGGCCTCACCGCTGTTTAGCAGATGAGAATCTACAGCCTGGGTCTTTGCTGAGCCGGGCCTGTGGGAACAGTGAGGAAACAGGCAGCAAGCATGTGTCAGGGGGAGTCAGGGGATGCCTGGGGGCTTCAGCTGCTAAGATGCTGAAAATAGGTGCCTGGCCAACGGAGCAGCACCCTCAGGCTGCCATCTGCCTATGGCCTCCCCACCCCCACCCACCTTGGCCCCGGGATCCGGGCTGCAGCCCAGCAGAGTGCGGGGACAGGGGGTGGAGGGCCAGCTGGCTGCCAGGAGAGATGGAGCAACTCGGAAGGCGCAGGTGCAAAGGCCCAGGCGTGTTGGCATCTGTCCCTCTGGGCCTCCCCAGCCACATCATCCAGCCTCCCTGAACCCTCCAGTGCATCTCCCACTCCCCACCCCCATTCATTGTACTCCTAGCCTCACCAGCCACTCCTTCAGCCTCAGGACCTTTGCACTGGCTCTTCCCCCAGCTTGGAACCCTCTTTCTGCAACACCCATGGGCCCTTTCCTGGTCATTCTTTGGGTCTGTATTAGCTTCCTGTTGCCAAACACTAAGTACCACAGACTGAGTGGCTGAAAACAACAGAAATCTATGCTCTCCCAGTTCTGGACGCCAGAAGTCTGAAATCCGGGGGTCTCAGGCCATGCTCCCTCTGAAGTCTCCAAGGGAGGGTCCTCCCTGCCCCTCTCAACTTCTGGGGGCCCCCGCCATCCTTGGCTTGTAGACGCATCCCTCCAACCTCTGTCTCCATCTTCACGCGGCCTTTTGCCCTCTGTGTGCATCTATGTGTGAGTCCAAACTTCCCTCTTATTATAAGGACATCAGTCATTGGATTCAGGGCCACCCTAATCCAATATAACCTCGTCTCAACTCACATCTGCAAAGACCCTATTTCCAAACGAGGCCCCCTTCCCACGTACCAGGGTTAGGACTTGAACGTTTCTTTTGGGGGAACACAGTTCAACCCAGCCCAGGGTCTCAGCTCAAATGTCACCTGTCCTGGTCTGAAGTCACCCCCTCCATGGACCCTGATCATCCATCCACACTGCTTCCCTACCCAGCCCTTGGGTAGACACCCCAGAGGGGGATCCCGGGTCCCACGGTGGATAATCGCTTCCTGAGCTAGCTACTAGGATGGGGTGGGACGGGCCGGGGTGGAGGGATGGCGGGATGGCGGGATACGGGTGCTAACGCTGCCCCCGCCCTCAGGTGCCCACGAGGATGGTGGCGCGGCCCTAGGCCCAGGCTCCGCACCATGACCTGCTGGCTGTGTGTCCTGAGCCTGCAGTTCCTGCTCCTGCCCGCGGCCCCGCCCCCCGCTGGGGGCTGCCCGGCCCGCTGCGAGTGTACAGTGCAGATGCACGCAGTAGCCTGTCCCCGGCGCCGGCTGACCGCGGTGCCCGACGGCATCCCGGCCGAGACGCGCCTGCTAGAGCTCAGCCGCAACCGCATCCGCTGCCTGAACCCGGGTGACCTGGCCGCCCTGCCAATGCTGGAGGAGCTGGACCTGAGCGAGAACGTGATCGCGCACGTGGAGCCCGGCGCCTTCGCCAACCTGCCGCGCTTGCGAGAGCTGCGCCTCCGCGGCAACCTGCTGAAGCTCATCCCGCCCGGCGTCTTCACGCACCTGGACAACCTCACGCTGCTGGACCTGAGCGAGAACAAGCTGGTCATCCTCCTGGACTACACCTTCCAGGACCTGCGCAGCCTCCGCCGGCTGGAGATGGGCGACAACGACCTGGTGTTCATCTCGCGCCGGGCCTTCGCGGGGCTGCTGGCGCTTGAGGAGCTGACCCTGGAGCGCTGCAACCTGACGGCGCTGTCGGGCGAGTCGCTGGGCCACCTGCGGGGCCTGGGCGCCCTGCGGCTGCGGCACCTGGCCATCGCCGCCCTGGAGGACCAGAACTTCCAGCGGCTCCCGGGCCTGCTGCACCTGGAGATCGACAACTGGCCCCTGCTGGAGGAGGTGGCCGCCGGTAGCCTGAGGGGGCTCAACCTGACCTCGCTGTCCGTCACGCACACCAACATCACTGCCGTGCCGGCCGCCGCCCTGCGCCACCAGGCCCACCTCACCTGCCTCAATCTCTCGCACAACCCCATCAGCACGGTGCCGCGAGGGTCCTTCCGCGACCTGGTGCGCCTGCGTGAGCTGCACCTGGCCGGGGCCCTGCTGGCCGTGGTGGAGCCGCAGGCCTTCCTGGGGCTGCGGCAGATCCGCCTGCTCAACCTCTCTAACAACCTGCTGTCCACGCTGGAGGAGAGCACCTTCCACTCGGTCAACACGCTGGAGACGCTGCGCGTGGACGGGAACCCGCTGGCCTGCGACTGTCGCCTGCTCTGGATCGTGCAGCGCCGCAAGACCCTCAATTTCGACGGCCGCCTGCCGGCCTGCGCCACCCCAGCCGAGGTCCGCGGCGACGCGCTGCGCAACCTGCCGGACTCGGTGCTCTTCGAGTACTTCGTGTGCCGCAAGCCCAAGATCCGCGAGCGGCGGCTGCAGCATGTCACGGCGGCCGCGGGCGACGACGTGCGCTTCCAGTGCCGCGCCGAGGGCGAGCCGGCGCCCACCGTGGCCTGGGTGACGCCGCGCCACCGCGCGGTGACCGCCGCCAGCGCTGGCCGGGCGCGCGTGCTGCCGGGCGGCACGCTTCAGATCCGGGACGCGCGGCCAGGGGACAGCGGCACCTACACGTGCGTGGCCAGCAACGCGGGGGGCAACGACACCTACTTCGCCACGCTGAGCGTGCAGCCCGAGCCAGCCGCCAACCGGACCCCGGGCGAGGGCCGCAACGACACGCAGGCGGCCGCGCGCTTTCCTCTGGACCTCACCACCATCCTGGTGTCTACCGCCATGGGCTGCATCACCTTCCTGGGCGTCGTCCTCTTCTGCTTCCTGCTGCTCTTCGTGTGGAGCCGCGGCCGCGGGCAGCACAAGAACAACTTCTCGGTGGAGTACTCTTTCCGCAAGGTGGACGGGCCCGCCGCGGCTGCCGGCCAGGGGGGCGCCCGCAAGTTCAACATGAAGATGATCTGAGAGGCCCCGACCCACCTCCCGCGGCCCCCGCCGCCGCGCCTGCGCCAGAGGCCGCGTCTCCGTCTCCGCCCAAATCCACGCCAGCCCGTGGCTGGCCCATCTGACTACCACCTATGCATTTCCCGTAGGGGGCGGCCGCAAGCCGGCTCCTGGCAGAACTTCCCCTTTTTTTGTAGAGACCCAACCACAAGACTGTTTTTTCATCAGGATGCATCTTTTGCAGAGTTTCTCAAGCGTTTTCTTAGGGTTTCACGCTGTCTTCCTGCCCCTCGTGTGGTCGCTGAGCTGGGCAGGGGGCGGGGGGTGCTCAGAGGCCCAGGGTCCTGGGCATAAACAGCTCACACCTGGTGGAGATGGTCTACACCTGGTCACCAGGGGCATGTGAAAGCCCTCACTGTTCACACCTGCACACACACACACACACACACACACACACACACACCGCCCCCGTCCCTACACCAGAGCACACACGCACACCCGGAACATAAAACCAGACGCACGGCTCCAGAGTGGAACACACACACCTCACACCCAGCTGACACTGAGCAGGTGTCCCAAGCTCCAGAGCTCACCAAGGGCACGCAGGGCTCTGGGGAGAGACCAGCGCACACCTGGGCCAGGCAGCTCACACTTAGGACACATTTCAGCTCACACCCATTCAGCTCACACCCAACTCCCGCTCAGCTGGCCATCTTGGGGCAGATCTCAGAGGCTGCGCTACAGTCTCGCTGAGGAGGTCAGGCTCACCCTGAGGTGGTCCAGCACGCAGGATGGTCCCTGACCCGCTGGCCCAGATGCCCCTGCACCCAGACTCCCACCCGCCAGGACCTGTTGGCCAAGCAGGGTGGGCTGCCCGCTAGGAGAAGCCATTGCCCTGGTTCCTCCCACCATCCCTCACAGCTGCTACCTGCTTCCTTGCCCTCACCGCCCAGGAGGGACAGCCGTCCTGGCCCCTGGCCCAGGAGCATGGCTTCCAGGTGTCTCTCTCCAGCAGACCAGTTGGAGTGACCTTCAATCCCGAGTCTGCAGCACCCCTGCCCAGCCCCGTGGCCCATTGCTCACCTCGGGAAGGAGACCAGAGCGTGGACGGTTCTCAGGGTCCCTGTTATGGGCATGCAAGGGGCAGCGACGGGGAGGAAGGCCAGAACAAAGGTTCAAGCTACAGGGAGGCCTGGACCTGGGTCGTTGGGAGAAGGTGACAGAAGCACCTTGGTCTCTGCAATGTTGGGGCAGATCTTGGGCCAAAGAGTAGAGAGGGTCACAGGAAGACTGTAGCTCAGGTGAAAGAAGAGCTTCCCTAAGGTCACTGCCCTGTTGCTCTACAGATACTGAGTTCCCAGTCACTGGGGGTATGCAAGCAGGAGCTGAGGTTTTGCAGAAGTATTCAGATACCAGACAGGGACCATACATGACCCTGCCTCGCCCAGCCTGGTCCTTGCCCCGACTCTCTACCTCGGCCAGATAACAGTTAGGGCATCACTTGGGGGAAGGGGCACAGCAAATTTTGTGTGGCCAGGCCCTGGCCAGAAGGGAGGTTAGACAGTATTCTCAAGGACCTTGTAAGAAGGTTCAAAGCAAGCTCTGTGCCCTCGCAGCTGTGTAATCTTTGTTGGCAACCGAGGACCACCTGGACCATTGGTGTCCACGTCTATAAAATGGGTCTGACGGTCAAACCTATTGCTACATACGTAGAGGCCAGGCCCGTGGACAAGCTTGGTGATTGACTTGGATTCTGGATCCCTCAAGATCTTTCTGAGATGAGCCAGAGAGAAAGCTGTCCCTCCTGGAAGTTTTGCACAAAGGATTCAGCCAGAAGGTGGAAGGGGACACTGGCCATTCTCCCTGGGCTGGAAGCATCGGGAGGCCCTGATCCCTCTTCCACAGCGTGCACATGGGCCAACAGGGCTGTGTGGCAGGCTGCTGACCACAGCCAGCCAGGGTGGGGACCCCACCCAACCCCATTCATGGCAGGAAGTGAGTGAGGGCCGAATGGGGTGTCCAGCAGCCCTACACAGAGTCGAATAGAATGGACTAGTTTTGTTCCCTTAGCATCCTCCTGACCTTGGTTGCCACGACAACACCGAGGGCCCCTCAAAACGACATCCAAGTGCCTTTAACATCATCAAGACAGGAGGGAGTATGTTCTCAGCAGTGTTAGGACTTACAGAATGTCAGCATATTGAGATCTCCCAGCCCCCTCTGCCCGCCCCCTGTCCCAACATCAACCAAGATCCTTAGCCCCTGCCCCCCACCCCTACCTGGCTGTATTTGGTTGGAATCCAATAAAAATGAAACCAATTTAATAACAAACTTCAGGGTTTTTTAAAATTCTCATGGGAAGCATGGGGGCAGAAAGTAGGGGCTGCTGGGGGTCCCTGAGGGAGAGGCCTGGCTTCAGCACCAGAGCTGACCCTGAGTCATAGGGCATTTGTGGATAAGGTTAGAGGTCACACTTCAGGAGTGCCCGTGCTGTTCCCAGCGCTGTTCCCTGTGCTGCCTGCGTTCACTCCCCCGTGAGCTGGGTCCTGTTATGACCCCATTTTACAGGTGGGCAAAGGGAGAGTCAAGTCCCCAGCTAGGGAGAAGCAGGGTGCTGAGAGGGACAAGTGGCACTGGGCTGTCCAGGGGAACTCTTGCCCTGAGCTTGGCCCAGGGGCGAAGCCAGCAGCAGGGAGGAAAGGAGAAATGAGGTGCAGACTCCCTCCCTCCCTCCTGCGCCTCTGGAGCTGGCAGCTTCTTCCCCTGGGGCTTCCCCTGGCCAAGGGCAGCTGAAGGGGGACCCGCCCCGTTGGTGGCTAGAAACCCAAGGCGGGGCCCCGCAGAGGGGTGTCTGTGGCCTCAGTGCTGTGTGGCTTGGGGGAAGTCGCTGCCCCTCTCTGTGCAGTGTGCTCATCTATAAACTGGAGGATTATGGTCCTCTTTTATGCAGGGAACTGTTTGAGCTTCCTAGGGCCGCTGTAACAAAACTTGGTGGCTTACAACAACTGAGATTTATTATTTGACAGCTCTGGGGCTCAGAAGTCTAAAATGGATTGGCAGCTGGTCCTTCCCGAGGCTCCAGGGCAGCATCGGTTCCCGCCTTTTCCAGCTTCTAGAGGTGCCGCATCCCTGGCTCGCGGCCCCACCTGCATCCTCAGAGCCCGCAGTGCAGCATCTCCCGTCTCTCTCTGCCTCTGACCCTCCCGCCTCCCTCTTATAATGACTCTGGGATGACGCTGGGCCCCCTGGGAATCCAGGGTCACCCCCATCCTCATCTAATCAGCAACCTTCACTTCCCCCTGCCGTGCCACATAGCATATTCACAGGTTCTGGAGATGGACATCTCTGGGGACTGTAACCCTGCGTGCCACAAAAAAACTGAGGCATTTTTCTCAGAAATGCGAAGTCATGAGAAATTCGGGAAGATCTGGCATCCCGAGCCCTTGCTCAGGGCGATGCCAGGGATGCAGAGAGCCCGGCCCCAGCTCCCGCAGCGCTCCAAAAACACTTCTCGAATAAAAGAACAGCTTTGCTATCTGCAGAGGGTTTGACCCTGGTGTGGGGTGGCCGGCCAGGGCTGACACACAGGGGCCACTTTTCAGGGTGAGCTGAGGCAATCGGTCCCCATTTCTAGGCCTTAAGGGAGGACTGTCCATTGGGGCTCAGTGGGGTGGTAGGCACATTGGGGTGCTGAGCAGATGTCAGCTGGCATCTGCTCTCCTCCCCCACAAAG